TTCAATAAATTCAATAAAATCAATCAAATAATTTCAATAAATTCATTTAAATAAATGTCAATTTCAAGTTTACAAATCAAAAAGTAAACTAATTAAAAAATAAAAAATAAATATATAATAAGTGTATTTTAGAATGTGTTCAACAATAAACAGTGTATTGTTGAAAGCTCATAGGTACCTACTACAATACACAGTGTATTGTTAGAAGGTGTTCAACAATACACAGTGTATTGTTGAAAGCTCATAGGTACCTACTACAATACACAGTGTATTGTTAGAAGGTGTTTAACATTACACAGTGTATTGTTGAAAGCTCGCTAACAATACACAGTGTATTGTCAAATGCCTAAACATACAACACACTGTGTATTGTTAGTTACCAGGATTATCTGCATAGTCTTAAGCAACCACAGATGGCGCCAGCGTTGAACGTTAGCAATGCAGGTCCCACCACCAGCCGTGTGAATCTTTCCCGGTTTCGGGCAGCACAAATCCCAGTGAGCCGCTTATTGCAACACTGCTCATAGGAATATTTTTGGTCGTATAACAATAGTATTTCAATCTTATTGTCGCGTATATATATTTTGCACATGGAGTTTTAGTAGCCGTTGCTAGTTTCTGGGAACTAGTTTCCAAATAATCACTCCATGTGCAACATATATATAGGCCTACGCTACAATAAGATTGAAATACTATTGTTATACGACCAAAAATGTAACCGGGTTCCAAGTGACCGTCACTAAATTAGTTTAAATCTTTAATTTAAACTTTTACAAATCAATAACAGTTAAATTGAGATTTAAGGATTTAAACTAATTTTTCTCGTGAAATCGGGTCCAGAAGTCAGTTATGTGACGAAATGTTACTAAAAAACCATTAGTTCATGTCTAAAAATATTATTTCAAAGTGCTGGGAAATCGCACCTAGCTGGAGCCATTACATTTTCAAACATTTTATGGGGGACGGTTTTACGCCAGACCCCCCCCCCTTAATTAGGAGCTTCGCGCTAAACAGTGCGAGCGCTGTCGGTTTTTGCCGACATTTCCTGTTTCGATAGTATAAAGTTCCACTGCTGTTGTAATAAGAACCCTCGCATTTTTTTAGCTGGCTACGCTATTGCATACACCAACACACACACACACACACACGCACACACACACACACACACACACACACTCTCTTTCTCTCGTCTCTCTCTCTCTCGTATCTCGTCTCTTCACACCACACAGCCACACAAGACAGACGACACGGACACCACACACGACACACACACACAAGACAGTTTCCATTTTTTAAGTTAGTAGAAGTAATGCATAAGAGTGAATGCCGACAAAAAACGTAAATAAAGTACGGTTCATACATCCTTCAAATTAGTCCAATAATACGATCAGGACGAGAATTCCATAAATCATAGATGCGCACTCTCTATTTACCTGCGACCAAGTGAGAATTGCCAGACTAATAAGTTACTCTGTTTTAAGACAAGAAAATTCAGTAGCAAAGGATTTAGGGGAAGCAATTGTTGTTAAGATTTCAAATTGTTGTTCAATATCAATTGAAAATACTGGAACTATACCTGCATTCCGCCCGCCATCTATCGGAACGTATGGTGCATACGACATAACATTACATCTCACCCTTCCTTAACAACAAATTGTAATGAATATATTGTAGACACGAGGTTTGCATTAATTAAATCAGTTAATAATTTCATAACTCCGTTCAGATTATCGGCACCGCAGATTGATTCTTGTAATGACTAACTAGGCACGAGCAACGAGGTTGAGGAAATGTGCGAAACACGGTCTGCGAGGGCAGGCGGGAGTGTTTGTGCGTGAGTGTGGCAAGGTTGTTTGTCTACACATTTAGCACACGACTGAGAAGCAACTCGGGGTCTCGACTCTCCCTGGGAGGAGAGATTCGACAATGGAGATACTCGTTTATACACGAGCGGACGTGGCGTCCTTGTAAGGGATGGGGCGATCAATTACTCACATAAACTGACCGTGTACATAGGAATCTAAATCGACACATCTGCTGGGTAGTTTGGGTTGCAAGGATGGTTTCCTTGTTTGGACGGAGTATCTGCGGTTGCTAAAATTAAGCGTGTATATATAAGACGCTCCGTGCAAGCACAGTTAGTGTGAGTGCTAACATTGTCAGTGCCTGCGACGTGCGTTGTTATCAGTCCGTGAGTATGTAAGTCTTTCTTACCTAATGGCTTAAGGTTCTTCTCATGCACATAGATCTATATGCCACTATAGACCTATAACTGTCTTGTGTTCTTATTTGTTCTATCGTAGTAATTAAGCTATCTTTTAGTATGAGCAATAATCTTTCTGTAATTCTAAACGTAGTTCTTATAGCTGTGTAAGTCGCACTCGCACCGTATTAACTGTCTGCACCTCTTTGTGTACTATCGTACGTATATTATTCTATTAACTGCAGGAGCTTTCCTGAATAAATCTATTTCTTGTGGCACTGTCTACACTTTCTTATCTTGTGAATATAAGTGTTAACATTTCTATACACTTCTCGTAAGACGGACTTACTCCGCCTACAATATGATTGGGTATTGCTGATGGTATGCCCATGTCACAGTCGGTAGCAATGGGAGGTAGTTGGGTGAAAACTGAAATTGGGTTAAATGTACTGAATAATCATGTTTGATACAACAACTGAAATCGCGCACAGATTGACTGTCCCTGCATATAGAAAAATCGGTGATGCTTGGCACAATGAATATACGATCAATAATTGATCAATTATACAGTTGTAAACTGACACTGATGCTTGCCATAAATGAACACATTAATAACATAATAGGCTTAACAGAATTTGGTGCAACACAATTAGCACAACATAATTTGGTACAATGGAAAAAATGCGCACACAAGTCGTCCCTACAGTTCATACGTCGAGAATGTCTCTTGGTGTGACGGAGCGGCCAGATCGGGTAAGGTAGAGGTCGCCGGAGGCCTTCACTGGAGTGGGTACTCCCGCAGGTGGGTGTCTGCCTACTGGTGGTGCAGGGCCAGACAGTTCGGCAGCGTGGGACTCTCCTGATGATGGACTGATATTCCTGGGCTTATATGGGGTAGTCAGAAGCAAATGGCGTCTGTTACGCCTGTACTCGTCTCCGTCTTCTGTGCGGACGTGGTACGACCTGTCAGCATCAGCTAATTTTGTGACAGTGGCTGGCTTCCACTGACCGTTCGCCTGTTAGATGCGTATCGCATCTTTTGGGTTGAGTGGACCTAGGAGTTTGTCACGAGCATGTGCGGTGCTCACAACTAGTGGCTCCAACTGCTGTGCTGCGGATGGTAGGACAGACCGCAGTCGGCGACTCATTAGCAGTTGAGCCGGCGATGCAAGATTGTCCACAGGTGTATTGCGATAGTCGAGCAACGCAAGGTATGGGTCTCAGCGGTCGGTAACGGTCTACTACGGCCACTCAGGCACTTCGTGAGGCAACATCGGTTCATTTGTGTTCGCCATTCTATAAGTCTGGCAAATAGTGCAACTGGATATCAAGTCTGCAATTTGGCGGTTCATGCCAGGTCAGGATATGATGTCACTTGCTCTTTGTCGGGTTTTCCCTATTCCCATATGTCCTTGGTGTATGAGAGCTAGCATTTCTTGTCTCAAGGTCTTAGGGACGACAATCTTGTCACCTTTGAAGATGATTTCGTCCATCACGGTCAACTCGTCTCTGTGATTGCAGTAGTCGAGAGCTGCTGTTGGACATCTGTCTCGACGCCCTGGCCATCCTCTTAGGATAACGTGCTTGACTTCAGATAGCCCAATGTCTTCATTCGTCTAAATTCTGATTTTAGAGAGCTTGTTATCAGACACAGAGACATTCGTCATAACCATGTGCACCTGTGTATCGGCTCCATCACCTATGTCCTCACTGTTTCATCGACCAACCATCTTGAGAGCGTACCTGCTACCGGGTTATATGCTTCTCGGGAATGTGGGTGACCTCTATGTCATATTTTTGCAAACGTAGCATCATTCGTTGAAGCCTAGCTGGTGCAGCAGTCAGTTTAGTGTTTTTTTAGTATGAACTCGAGCGGTTTGTAGTCGGACTCTACTATAACGTGCTTACCGTACACATACTGGTGGAATCTCTCTCAACCAAACGATATGGCATACCTTTCTCAATCTGTGCGTATAGTTTTCCTCAGTGGATGTCAGCGACTTGGATGCATACTCCAGTGTTTTACCGTCTTGTGGCAGAGCATATTTTTCTCACGCGATGGCCGTCAAAATGGCGCATGTGTTTATGTGCACGTGCGTGCGAGCGTGCGTGCGTGCGAGCGTGCGTGCGTGCGTGCGTGCGTGCGCGGACTATCGTACGTACGTACTAACGGGCATGGGGTCATGCTTGCGTGCGTAAGTGCGTGCATGGGCGCTCGCCTATGCATATTTGTATATAGATTGCGGATTTTTCGCTGTAAGAGTGTTCAGAACTAGCATAAATGTATGTATAGTTATTTTCTAAATATATCATATACTCATATATATGCATAGGACACAGTGTAATTCATATATCTCTCTCACTAGCTGTTATGGTGCATGTTAAGCATCTGCAGAGATATAATTACTATTACGACCTTTTTTATAATTGTATAATATGTTTGTTTTAGTGTTGTAATGTCGGAGCGTTCACAGATTATGGATTATAAGGGTGGGGGGGGGGGGTCAACCAACATAACATTAAATCAAAGACGTCAATTTATAAATATGCATTGCGACATTTTTCTTTTTTTGACACATAAATCAAGGCTGTTCTCATAGCATTTTAGGTGAGTAACGCTCGAAAACGTGTTTTCACCAAAATGAACCGATTAATCGAGGGAATCCCGCCATCACTGTTACGGTACTTTAGGCGCGCAGTTTACCAGGGAGGCCTCGTCTGGGGGCATCGCAACGTACCTATGCCTTGGTTTCCTGACCCTACTTCCTAGGATTAGACACTTGAGGGAGCAATCTATTGCCCATTTTGGACAACATTACCTGAAGCAGCAATGCTGCTTGGAACTAGTTGATTGTGAATGCAAAAATGTGTTCTGGTCGATGCACCTGCAGAAAGGCAGCACTACATTGCACTGTTCTTTGTGTATGTGATAGGCAATGTATTGTGTCTATACTATACTGAAATGCTGAAAGTGTAGCATTATTATTGTTATATAAATATAAATATATATATATATATATATCAGGAGTTAATAATGACAAATTTGTCATTATTAACTCCTGATTTGTCGTCATTTGTCATTATTAACTCCTGATATATATATATATATATATATATATATATATATATATTATATGTATATCATATATCATATTTATAATAAGATATAAGCAGGTAATACAGAATGCAGATTATATGCAAGAATTAGACACATCGAAGAATCCATTTCATTGCTTCACCCCATGATTATTACAACTCAAAGATACCTGCACTAAATAAATTCTTAACTTTTACATTTCTGCTAAATTTGTAGTATATCAGAAACCCATCAGGAACACGAGTATTACGCGCGCTCAAAGCTACACAATATTGTAAACAATGCCGGTAATACATCCATTACGTGTTATGTTTAGTAATAAAGCATATATACAACCACTATTGAACTATTGTAACATCAATCTTGCTCACATAACCTGCTTGTGTACTAAATCAGGAACATTTTTACGTATAGCATACTGAATAATTTTTGTTGCATCGGTTATCCAGTGGAGGGAAAATTTCTAGTATTTTTACGCATTTCATTGTTTCAACCAATTTTTTTAGAATTAGAGATACATAATAATATACACTAAATAAATTGCTGCCATTGTATTAACGTAAAGACATGCGAATCATATGAGTAGTTTTTTGTTACTAAATTGGATAAGTATGTTTAAGTTATAGCACTATATCAGGACCTCCCGTAGTAAACGTGTGCAAGGTTTCACAATTCTAACCAAAAGTGGTCAATGTGCTTATCCGCTGTACTATGAGCCATGTCTGTTCGCAATCATCTCTCTGAAATAAGAAAAAAACATTCACGCAGAGCAATGCATCATGCATGATACCTTATGAGTACTCACGGCTGCACACCATCGGTTGATAAGCACCGAACAAGATTGTACAACATGCAACATCCCCGCACAATATACACATAAGGAATGGTTACACTGCTGTTAAATATGCTCAGAAGCATATGCCCCATAGCATATTATCAAGAGCTCATAATAGAGATCTCTATTATGAGCTCTTGATATTATGTAGCTTGCCACTTCAAGATCAAATATGGATATAATCTACCGCGAACGTACTTGTGGTTAGAGTCATAAAATCGTCAGGCGAATTATCCATGTATTCCGCCCGTAACCATAGCTTCAGTCACTAGCACGAGCACGATTCCTGTTGGATTGACTCTTGCCACGAGAACGTCTGTTGACGAGAGCCTTACCAGCCAGTCCTGGTGTGAAGGCGGCAGCCTGACAATAACCAGTTACATCTACGATAAAATTAAGCTCCAAAACATACTAAATGGATCTAGTATAATTATGAATAATATAACATAGGCGCGTTAAACGTTAAATTGCATAAATGTGTAAATATATTGTATTTATATATATATAAATACATAAATTTATATATATATATATATATATATATATATATATATATAATATTTTTATATATAAATATATAATTTGTAAATATACGTGTAAGTATAGACCAGTTGTCTCGAAATTGTTCTAAGACGTTAATTACATAGATTTATTATGAAAAATTACGATATAGTTAAGCGGATAGGTGAAATAGATGTTCACTTCTGGAAGAAAGCATATAAATTGGTCTCTGGGGGTTTTTGAGTATGCTGAATCCGAATTTAATGGGAACCACGTTGTCAGAACAAGGTTTCCTACTCAAAAAGGGTGTTGAACATGGGTGGGGTCAAATATCATATTGTTACCGCTGGTAGAGTAAACATATTTTGTGAGTGTTTGTATCTAGTGTCTGTCCTATATATTATATCTATATTATATGGTTAGTAACAGTAGCACAGCTTATATACAATAGCCATTGCCTAAAAAGTGTTTATTGTTTTCGTTTTATTGCCATCTGTCGTCGTATGTCGTGTTCCGTCATTTGACCGGAAGTGAACATCTATTTCAGGTATCCTCCCCACTAATATCAACAAAACAGCAATACAAGTCTTCTTACTCACATATATAATACATCTCATAATAAACTAGAGGTCTAGGACTGCGTCGGCATAACAATTAAATTGTTCAGGGGCATGTCATCACTTATAAATGGTAGAGAACACTTTTTTTTCCATGTCCTTGCGAACATGATGCGATCACACGTAAATCACACAGCACTATCTGAGTCCTATATTGTTATATGTATGTAATCCACATGCGTGGTCGTTGAGTTCACATGAAGTCACTCACTTTCCCTGGTTGTGCATTGTCCACCACAAAAGCACAGTTGTGTGCACTTTAGGTTTGCTTTGTGGCACTGACATCGTCCGTGGCATTGTTTCTTGCACATGCATTTCACGAGTTCACGGCATCCCTTTGATGCTTCTGGAAGTACACTCCACAAGGGGATCCAGTGCCCGTCGTCATCAAGTTTCCACCCCCAACTGGATGGACTTGGAAGAGTTAGAGCTCGACGTCATTGCTTGAGCCCAGATGTGACCTCTTGGAATGATGCACCTTGACGTGCTGGTAGAGTGCGCTCGGGATGGTGGGATGTTTTCTATTTTACGATTGCCATGTGAGAATAGTTGCTTTCTTGCTGCGTTTACGTGGTGATTTGTGAAGTTCGGCTGTAAAGAAGGACAACAAACTTTCCAGCTCCTCCATGTCGGCTTCTGTAACTTCTTCGGGAGTGTCAGAGAGGCGGATGAATACAGCTGTGAGGTTGGGTAGCGACCGCCAGACATCCCACGTGGTTTTCTTTCCGATAGAGCTGAATGATGAGACTGTGTCACAGCCTGACACAGCATGCATGAATAACAAGCCTTTGCAACAGTCAACACCAAGTGCATCAGCAATGGTGTGAGGCAGCAATGTAGCGGAACGTGTTACCACTGCCAAAGGCTAGCCATAGTTCACATCCTCTCATTGGATTGTCGCCACAATGGCAAGAACCAGTACGTCTGTGTCTGTGGCGTGTACCATGATTTTTTCAATCCGTGTTTGAAGGCATGAGCACAATGGAGCATCATGCGGTAGTCCGCCTCTTCGTGTGTGCATGGCTCTAAGTCAGAGACATCCAGCACAGATGTCGATACTACACTTTCACCCTTGGTTGAGACTAGTATCTTTCCTGTTGGTGTGGATGTGACTTCAATGGCTGAAGCAAGGAACTTGAAGAGTTCTGTTTTGTTGCTGTCGACGCGCAAAAAACTTTTCCAGTTTTGAGGAATACGTGTTTGCTTCAACACGCGAAGAGGATCCCCGGTACCTCGGCATGTTCTCGTGTTAGCTTTCAGGCTGTCAGTAGTGTAGCTGTCCCAAACAACATCAAGGCGGGTAGATGCTTGCAGCTGCCTTAGGAGATATGGGATAAACACATATTCTGCATAATCTTTGAATGTCTTCACAATGGTGGCAGCATGCTTTGGCTCCAGTAAGTGAACAAGGGCGGCTCCATCCACAATCTTCACATCAACGTTTGGTGTTGTTGGTGGGCGTGGTGCCAAAGGTTCCAAGCATCTCAGCAAGTCAGCTTTGTTACCTTGGCGCATTGCATTATGGTCAGCAAGAGATGGTGGCCAGGCGTGGTTTTCATGCTCGAAGAAGACATCGATGTCTCCCTCTCTTGCCTGGCATGAAATGTACATTCTTGAAAACAGTTGAAGGTCGCTCTTCATACTTGCTGTTTTCGACTTTGACTTGCTTGGTGTTTTGCGTAGTCCAGATTTAAGCATTGGGAAGCTGTTCTTTGTGATAGTGTCATGGAATGGTTTCTGTGTCGTCATGATACGCTCATCAACGAATGCCTTGTACTGTGCCTTCCCAATCTCCTCAGCATGTCTGATGCTCTGGATGACTTCGTCCGCCATCACTACCTTTGTGTCCATGGCTATGAGGTCAGCGCTGGTCTCTGTGAAGGGATTACCCATATCTTCAAAGACACCAACCACACTGTGCACATCTGTTGCAAACCTCCTCTGTGTGCTTGGAGTTTGTTCGTGATGACAGTCTCTGTGTTTCGCTTTCGACGAGTTCTTTAAGTCCAGCTCATGTATGACCCTTGCTACTTCTGGACCGGCAATCATCCAACGACGCAACGCTGATTCGTTCTCGGTGATTCCAATCACTCCGCCATCACCCTTGACGACAGCATTCAACTGCTCATGGACATGGTCGTGAGCCATCATTGAGAATCGATGCGTTGTTTTTTGTGTAACGAAGTGCCCTTTCATGAATTCATTCCAGATCTCAGGACATTCATGCTCTAGCTGGAGCAGGTCACGCACGTGTACCGAAAGCCATCTGGCATAATGGTAGCCAGTGTGTCCACATACATCCGGAAGTCTCCTTCGCGTTG